TTTTTTTTTAATAATATTCATGTAACATTCTAGGAACATTTTGCGCTTATAAAAGGGTTATGCTGATAAAGGATAGGTGGAAATTTACGACATTTACATTATCGGTTATATCCCAATATTTACACTAAATACAAGATGATCCTTACAATTGTGTTAAAAATAAACCATTATGTTGTGTTCCTTTCTTCGTTTTGATGATCGTTTTTTTTTTTTGTTAAGGTCGTGTATTTGAGACCTTTGAGACTCATAAATTTTATTTGACACAGTACAAGCTAGTTTATGAATGTCAGCATGAACATAATAACTATGGAAGGAAAGATGTTTCTCATTAAGTGTTTCTACCTTATATGGAGGCAAAAATTATATAGAAGAATGTAGATTCCGTAATAAATATGAATCTAAAGAAATTTTAAGCGAAGAAGTACATTCACTTACAAGGAAAACCTTGAAATGTTTAAAAGATCACCCTCTATCAATCTTCTTTAAAATTTTTTTTTATTTTAGCGAGGAATTATATATATATATATATATTGATTTGGTCAAACAGTTTAAGTCCTAAACTTTAGGAGAACAAATTGTATCCTAAAATCATTTAAAACTGTTATTTTTTAATTAATCATACTAAAAATCGCTGTAATATCGCTAGGTTTTGCTTTTATATGCCAAGTGCAAAGTATTCAAGTATATGTTTTTCACAGTTTTATTATGTTGATAATTCCATATATATATATAGTGAACAATGATTATCCATTGGTCAACTGGTACTAAAAAGTAAATGTGCATGGTAATAATGATATACCGAACTAAGCGTTCAAAGTTCTATCAAGATGCGCGACTGCCGATGTGCACGCGCTTAATAACTTCTATAAATATCATTTACTACTTATTTTAATAACTTTCTAATAATTATATTAAGATCTGAACGTTCATAATATAACATAATATAATATATCATTATTATAATATTTTTATGAGATACAAGGTGCTTATCGTAAAGATTTACAACACACCATCTCTTTTTCATCGATGAACTCTTTGAACACTCGGTGTAATAAGTTGAAATGAAATAAATATATATTTGTTACTTCAACTTATTGCACTGTTTGCACCAATTCAAAGAGTTAAAAAATTGCAACTGTTAAAAAAGGTTGTAAAAAAAACATTTATTTGTTTTACGCAAGCTATAACTTGCGTAATGATTTAAAAAAATAGAAAATCTTTCATAAAAAAGAATTAAAAAACATTTTAACTTTTTTTAAATAACACACTATACGATTTTTTAAATAATATTATAAACAACATTAAGATACATAAATTCAATGTATTACCGAAAATACTATTTTCTAACAATAAAGAAACAATAACGAATACAAGGCAATAATCAACTAAATGAATAAACGTAAATAAAAGTAATCAATGTTTCATAATTATATTGCGGATATAATGGCTTGACATATTGTTAAAATTATATAAAGTTGTATACTTCGAATTTTTGGCCAAGTTAGTATAAATTGCACGATCGTATAATTAATGATATTACACGATTTGCGCACATTGTGCAGGAATATATTTGCTATGTTAATACTTTGAAGGCTAGATTATACTTGCAGCACAAACTCGCAGTCTTTCATTCGCAGCAAAGTTAAATTTTATGTAGGTAATTCTCATCAAGGAATGATATTGATATTAAGGATACATCCGAGAAGGATTGCCAGATATTCGGTGCATCCCTAATTAATAGAGTCCGACTGAAATTTTGGTTTCGGTCAGTTTCGGTCAAAAATCAGGGTTTCGGTTTGATTTCGGTTTCGGCCGAAATTAAGAGAAAATTTTTGTGGGTAAATCGAAACTGTACAAGTTGCAACGCGCCGGTGAGCGTTTAAAAAACAACTGTTCGATTTTAATTATTAACTCATTGATTAAGCTTAAGACAATTTGAGTACAAACTTTGATGTGATCCTAATAATAACTGTGATTTGATTTCTTTAAAAGTTAAGGATGCAATATTATTATATTATTATAGTTAGATATTTTAATAAAATCTTGTTTTTTAAAGAGCATATAATTAAATTTGTCATGATTTCTGAAAATTACAGTCCCTGTAAAATTAATCCAAAAATATGATTTCGACCGAAAAAAAATATGACTCCGTTAGCTTCTCTCTCTCTCTCTCTCTCTCTCTCTCTCTCTCTCTCTCTCTCTCTCTCAGTAAGACTTATCTAAGTTTTAGTTCTGGTTTCGTTTTCGGCCGAAATTTAATGACAACCGAATATTCGTTTTCGGTTTCGGCTGGAAGTCAAAATGTGGTTTCGGTCGGACTCTACTAATTGATATCATGAACGTAGTTTTCTCTGCGATCAATTTTTTGTATTATTTTAGAAAATTTGTTTTGTTTTGACACGTTTAATTTTGCTTTAAGCGGGGAGCACAGACTCTTGCATAACGCATGCTCCCCGCTTTAAACATTATCACTGTCCTAAAAACGTCAAGTAAAACGCTAATATCAACTTCTCTATGTCATATCACTTTGAGGGTAAAGTGCTATGATAAGAAAATTATTAATACAGAAATCGATGGATACAGTTTATTTATATGAAGAAATTTGGATGTTTTTTTAGCTATCGAGTACAGCTATATTTGTATATTATGAAATATATAACACACATGATATTAAAATACTACCTATTTTACATAAAAAGTATGACAAAATTCAATTTGTGACGCAAACACTCCAAAAATCGTTTTTTATTATAGAATTTTTTGATATTATGATTTAAATAATATATCCAATTTTAATTTAAATAGTACAATTTTCAATAATATAAATTTTATAGTTTTTTACGAAACGCGTTTCTCACGCAAAACTTGTCTCGATAGGCGTTTTTGCAAGAATTCTTGAAATTAATTCAATTTGCATCTGGAAATTACAAAATATGTTTTGTAATTTACATTTCTTTTGCAAAGCTCCAGGAATAGCCGAGGAGTATTCACTTGATAGTTAAAGAATTGTTCAAGAAACCAAGGAAAAAGTAAATTATAAAACGTTTAAAATTCACGATGCATTCACATTGCACGCAATTGCAATTTATTCCCGTACAGCGCATTCGAGATTTCTCTGCGCTAACATTTTTTCCGTGATTCGCGACCTTTACCGTGTATCTTTGGACATTAAAATTATAAAAAGTACGGTTGTTATTATTGCGTAAGTTATGATTAAAAAGTGCATGTCGCATTAGTTTTGGTTTTTTATTTAGGAGGATTTGTTTTGCAAAGTAAAATATATATTAATAGATACGGTTGAGAAAATAACTATAAAGCTGTGTCACTGTGGCGTGATAAAGCGCAGATACGGATAAATTAAATATTATCCAAAGGAGAGGCTTTTTTATAATCGTATCTATAAGATTAAATAAATAAAATGGCAGATCAAATTTTTAAATCGATTTATCTCGCAACACACAGTATCAGCATACCTCGTCGTATAGCGTGAGACATTAAAAAAAATGAGCTTATCTGCGTATAATTTGCATTTTAAAATCGTTAGCAACGAATACGCCGAGTGCATCAAGTTGACGACAAAGATTAAAAATTGTGTACATTGAGTTACGTTAAAAAGAACTCAGATGTAAATCCATGTCCGGCGGGCGTGTATTGATCGTCGATCTTAAGCCACAACGTGATTAGATCGAGATCGTGTTTTAGAAAAAAAATGATGATAAATATACTTCTGTATATTAACAACGTTTCACCGATCAACTATAATATAAAATATAAAAGCTAGTCATTACTATATAGTATAAAAATAAAAGCTAGTTATAACTTCATGTGGCGTTTTTGATAGCGCGGCTTTTTGAAAGTCATCTTAAACTAAAAAATAAAAATATGGATTTCTAGACTGTTAGAATTGTAATTATTTATTCATTTTATCAAATAAAATTCTATTTATCCTTTCCATTTAGTCATATCTTTTCAATGAAAAACTTCTTCATATTATTGTGTAAAAATATATTTATTCTTGTTAAGTATCAAACTTACGTACTTTATTAAATCTAATACATGCTGGTAATTAATTATTGAGTACTGCGCAATGAAAAATATGTGCGTTGTTGATACGATAATAGATTTAAAAGATTTCATATCTATATCTTTTATATTTGTCTAACAAGCAAGTGGAGAGTAGTAAAAGAAGTTCAATGGAGAGTATAAAGAAAACATGATTATCATTCTTATTAGTATTAATATTAGTAGTAATGTTAATATGTACAACATTAGTTATTATAAATAGAATTAATCAATAAGATAATAATTAATCAATAAGAATCTTATTGGACAGTAAATGTGTATATATATGTAAAGAATTACAAAAAAATTTCAGCATTTATGAAAAATATTCCAATACGTGTAAAAAGAGAAATTTTTTTAATGTAACGTAATAAAATGATATGAAAGGAATAATATTCTTTGTAACAGTGATTTTGACAGCTGTAAAAAATATTTATCATATAGAGAGATTTATATCAGAAAGATGTATGTGTGATGAAATATTATGTAACAACGTTTGTTTACGATGCGAAATTTAACGATGCTCCTTGCACTTAATATGTTCTAGCATGTTTTAACGCACAGTTATCTACTGACTTTCGATAAACAGTTTGCAGCAATTGTTTGCTCAACGAGACTAGCGTTTTGCAACTAAAAAAAAAAAGAAACGATATCGTTGCAAACAACAAAGTGTAGTGATTATATCACTGCTGGTACTTTAGTCACGGATGATAATTGCTGTAACGGGTCGCCGGCTCTTAGATGGTAGATAAGATTTCGAAAGTGCTATTTGCACAGATCCTGCACACCTACGACAGACAAGGTTATTTTTACCGTAGTAGGATTTTATCAGGATGTTTTTCATACGTATAAAAAACTTTTGCGCTCGCTCTTAGATTAGTCATTAGTAAAATGAGTATAAGTGGCGAAGGCTGTGCAGTCCGTCGCGGTTTTTCCCTTGCATTTGGGAAAAAAAAGAAAAAGCCTAATCAGACGCACAGGAAGACTTCCGACTGTGTAATGGAGCTTTTATACAGCTATTGTTAAAAAGATACACAGCTAATAGACGAATCGACAATTGTAAATACAAGTATAAATAAAATATAGTAAACATGCGTATAAGTCGATTGACTTATATGCATGTTTGCTATCTTTTATTTATACTTTGAATGAAAAAAAATTCGTTATTTGTAATATTGTTATGTAATGCATCATTATACGGATATTTGCGCTTGCCAACTTGTATATCAGTCTGTTTATCCTTATTTATTATCTTTCTAAAATATGAGTCAACTATTTTAAAAGAATTAAGTTGTTTAATTATATACTACTAATGGACTATGTATAATAATTAAAAGTCAATATACATGGTGTGGCAATAAAGTTCGGTAAATGTTATGAGAAAATAAATACCACTTATTTAATATACAAATGACTTTTATTGTTCTTTAAGATATTTCCTTCTAGAGACACACTTCTGACAACGTTTGTATAGCTTGCGGAAATAACTATGTGAAAAGTCATATTTGGATATCGCCTTAAGTCATAATTGTCACACAATTTTGATTCAAAACGACAATTCTTGAGTCAGCGTTGCATGACGGTTTTGAATCACTCTCCCTATTCTCCTGATCTTACTCACATAGACTTCTTTTTGTTCCCTGAACTAAAGGAAGCGATGAAAAGAACTCAATTCACAAAACATTTCGAACATTGAAAACCGTGTGACAACAAGACTTAAGAGCACAAACCTTTTATATAACCTTTTATATAATTTTGTATAACGCATGAACTAAAAAGATTAAAAGGTACTTTTGCACTTAAGGCGATATTTATAAATGACTTCATAGTTTCTGCAAGTTGTACGAACGTTATCAGAAATGTATTGTTTCTAGAGAAGATTACTTTGAAGAACGTAAAGTGTATTTGTATATTAATTAGTGATGTTTATTTTCTCATAACATTCACCGAACTTTATTGCCACTCTCAGATCTGCCAACGTAAAAAAAACAGCGATATTAATAAAATATAAAAAATCTTACGTGCAAAAAAACACGATTAAAAGATTTCTCATTTGAGTTAATTTTTTTTATTTGAATAATTTTTAATAGAATCATGTAATCCTCATGATATCAAAACTTTAGTGAAATTCATGGTTTTTGCTGACAGTTAAGGAAAGCTAGTATATTTATGATAACTGCACTATATGAATAAATTTATTTCATGTTATTAATCGATCGTTTATAAATTCTTCTGAATTTATTTTTTACAGGGAGAAGCACCCGTATTATTAACTGCCAATGGAGCGCCTATCGCTGAGAAGAAGGCCAGCCTTACGGTTGGTCCTCGTGGACCCATGTTGCTGCAAGACTTCGTTTACTTGGACGAAATGTCACACTTCGCTAGAGAAAGAATTCCCGAGCGAGTTGTGCATGCGAAGGGTGCCGGTATGTCAATACTTAATGTGGCATATATCTTATCACTGTATTCAATATTTATTTTTAGTCATGCGATAAATTCTGTTACTTATGAAAATATACTTAGAGATGTAGAGATATAGAGAATGAATTTATTTTATAATTAAAATCAAAAGCAGCATGGAATGTATACTTGTTTCATTGTAATTGACTAATTACAATATAAAAATATTTATATTACAATATAATTACAACATAAAAATAACTGTTATCAATGTCTATATTTTGACTTTACAAATTTCTTTAAATGATTGAGCTTCAAATTTTTATAGCACTCGAGTATTGATATATTAACCAATATTTTAGTAAGATTTATAAATTATATATGAGGCAAGTGTTATGATAGTTTGAAGCTCGATAGTTTAAACAAATTTATGCGGTGAACATTTTTTTAATAACTATAATTTTTATATTGTAATTAACTGATTGAATAAAATGAATATATATTCTATATTGCATTTTATTTTAGCTATGAAAAATAAATCCATTTTTTAAATAACAGAATTTATGGCACGTAATTATGTATGTAGATATAGATATCTACTATTTTCATCATAATTGGTTATTAATTTCATAATTTTTTTTCTATTTTTAGGTGCATTTGGCTATTTTGAAGTTACCCATGATATCACCAAATATTCTAAAGCAAAAGTGTTTTCTAGCATCGGAAAGAGGACTCCCATTGCTATAAGATGCTCTACTGTTGGTGGTGAAAGCGGTTCTGCCGACACTGTCAGGTAATAAATAGAGAAAATGTCAATACTGTAATAGAATATTATTTAACTTTCATGCAGATGGTTTAATAAATATTTGAAGGTAATTGCGCCTCTTGTTTTTTTGCATATTCATAGAATCAATTAGATTTTTGTACATAAACTGGAAAACACATATATAAAATTACATTTTACATTATATAATAACATAAACAACGTCATTAATCATATAATAATGATTATATTATATTATTAATAGTTGTTTTAATGAAATAAATACAAATATATTTAATATTCATTGTAAATGTTTGCAATTTAATACTTTTCTTGTATAGAATGTACATGCACGAATCGTCTTTATATTGCCCCAGTTAGTTATGTGCGTATCTACAACGCAAATCGCATTCAAATCCTTTTTGTAGTAAAGTAACTTTCCATTGTTTAATGTGTTGCAATCGGGAACATGATTTCCAAAGATTGCATGCCGCTTTTCTGAATTGTGTTTTGCTTAGCTAATGTAACTAATTCGAATGGTAAAATACACGCAATAAAAATGAAATACAAAAATTCTTGCTTGTTTACCTAATTACTATCGGTCTGCTCATTATATTCTGTTGTATGTAGAGATCCACGTGGATTCGCCGTAAAATTCTACACTGAGGAAGGTATTTGGGATCTCGTGGGGAACAATACGCCGATTTTCTTTATTAAAGATCCCCTCTTTTTCCCGAGTTTCATACATACACAGAAGAGAAATCCAGCGACTCACTTAAAGGTTTGATTGAATTTGCAATCATTTACCAAACAAAGTCTAACAATGTAATAGTTTCTAATAGTTAAATGTATTTGTGAAATATTTCTTACATTATAAAAAATAATTATTATCTTTCTAAAATAAATATTAATTATCTTTTTAATTAAATTACATATTGTATTGCAGAACTTATATTATTAATAAAATCTTTTTTCCAGGATGCTGACATGTTCTGGGACTTCATCTCTCTTAGACCTGAGACGACACATCAAGTTATGTTCCTCTTTGGCGATCGTGGTATTCCCGACGGACATCGTCATATGAATGGCTATGGTTCACATACGTTCAAGCTGGTGAACAGCAAGAATGAAATGGTTTATTGCAAATTCCACTATAAGGTCTGTCTACTTAAAAACTGAAAAAATAATATTTAATCTGTTCATGATATAATTATCCAATTATAAATATTTAATAATGATTCAGACTAATCAAGGAATCAAGAATATCTTTGCACAAAAAGCTGCCGAGCTCAGCGCTTCCGATCCTGATTACTCAATCAGAGATCTTTACAATGCAATCGCTAAGGGCCAGTATCCGACTTGGACATTTTATATCCAAGTGATGACCGCTGAACAAGCAAAGACCTTAAAGTGGAATCCGTTTGACTTGACAAAAGTAATTATTATATAATATGTTTAATTTACTTGATATTTTAACGTAGCAGACATTCTTTTGGAAACTGTACGAATTTTTTTTATAGATATGGCCGCACAAGGAATATCCATTGATACAGGTAGGCAAATTGGTGCTGGATCGCAATCCCGAAAATTATTTCGCCGATGTGGAACAAATGGCCTTCGATCCAGCGCACATGGTACCCGGTATCGAGCCGAGCCCTGATAAGATGCTGCAAGGCCGACTCTTTGCCTATGGCGACACTCATAGGCATCGCTTGGGTCCAAATCATCTCCAGCTGCCAGTGAACTGTCCTTACAAGGTAATATTTTGTAACATCTTTAAATAAATTATATAATTACGACTATAGTTTGTGGTTTTCTATCTTATATTCTAGTCAGATGCGATAAAGTCTTTATTTCTTCAAAAGAAAAATAAATAATATAGTTTTAAATAACTTTTGCTCATTTTTTGTATTAAAAAATTATAACTTTTAATTTATATTTCATAAATTTCACATGAAAGTACATTGACGTTAATACAAAGAGATTAAAGTATCATCATATCTACATAAATAAATCTTTAATTATATATTTAAGAATCATTTTACAGTAAAAATCAGTATTATTTAAGCAGCTAATAACGGCATGATTTAAACTATTAACATAAGTTATACTATTCGATTTTGAAACTTATTTTTTAAAATTATATATTAGTATTTAATTATATTAAATTGAATTTTACATATATATATATATATACATAATTGCATGGGCGTGCGTGTAATATACTAATAATATTATATTATGTTGTTCACATATTGTACGCAAACTATTTTTTAAGATATATTTATATCAATATTATATTATTCACGATTTTATAATATTAAGTACAATATTTATTATTATCTTGACTAATACAATATATTGATTTTGTAGGCGATTTCCACGATGCATTATCAACGGGATGGTAACATGCCGATATACAATCACGGGAACGCACCAAATTATTATCCTAATAGTTTCTCTGGACCGAAGGAATGTCCAGCCGCTCGTTCGCCGTCGTTCTATGTAAGCGGAGACGTGGATCGTTACGATCCCGTGGATGAGGATGACTTTGATCAGGCTACTGTTTTCTGGAAGAAGGTTCTCGATGAACCAGCCAAAGAGAGACTAGTACAGAATATGGTCGCAAGTTTACGTAACGCTTCGACATTCATCGTCGAACGAGCTGTGCGAAACTTTGCTCAAGTGGATGCCAATCTCTCTCAGAGATTAACAGATGGCTTGCGCAAGTGTGGAATAAATATTAACGCCTTGGGAAAATCAGCCAATTTGTAAAGAGGTTATAATCATCTCTTCCTTTTTGTACCACAACGTACCCGGTTATCGAATACGTAACAAATACGTACTGAAATACATAATTATGATACACATAATACTTTTTATTGATCTAACATATTTGTTAAATTATTGCCAAAAATATTTGTTTCTGCAATGTATTGCTTTTACTCGATGATATTTCATTGTAGAATTATCGTTTTATAATACTAATACAAGGGGTATAGGTGTAAAACTATTAATGGTGCCTTTTTATATGCATAAATCATTATATTGTACTTGAAAAAGACAACAATCAAACATTGTTCTACTATTTGTTAAGATACTGCGTTTTGCTACAGTGATTTTTGAATATTATACATGAATACCATTAGATTTTAAAGAAGGAACGTGTGTTGGGATTTTTGTAAATAAAATTGGAAATTACTACAAACGAAAATATATTATACTCCAATGTTTCTATACTGTTCCCACAATGTTTACCTTTGTATAAAAAGATACCTGATTTCGCTTTGACGAATTCAAGGTAGACGGCAGTGAGTCACGCCGCCAATTAGGGTAACTTGTAGGACAAAGCCATTTCAACTCCATTTAAACTGCATACAAAATGTATCCGCTTTTATCCGTCGTTCCGGAGTCGAGCTGAGCGTTTCGCGAAGTTCACAAAAGGTATGTCGTTACATAGAATTGCATCTTTTTGAAATAGAAAATGAAATAAGTCTTTGATTTAATGTTGACATTTTTTTATATTGCATAAAGCGTATATACTCAAGAGTATAATTATATATAACAGAATACGCATGTATATTTTTAATTATATGTATGATATATTACACATATATTATTATATTTTAAAATATATTTTATAAAACATATAGAGAATATACAGTGTAGCTTGTGGTTTAAATATGTACGTACTCAGTCATTTAATAGAGTTATAAAAAAGATTTTCGGATAAAAGTTATTTTGCTTAAAAAATCTATACATAATAAATTTTTTAATCTTTCAATGACATGTTTTATTTTTTTAACGGAATAATATATCTATTTCATTACAATTTGATAAAGTATTTTATTATAATATTTAGTCAAATGTGTAATTTTCGATAGCTGTATTATATATAAAATAACTTAGAGGAGACTAAGATTAGTAACTTAATCAGGGTTAGATTAACCGAATCTATTAAAAATAAAACAATGGAGAAACGGGTGAACTAAGTATATGAGCATGCAACAGACTGCCATTCAGATAGCTAATTAGTTTGGAATTTGGTTGAAGTTCTAAAAAAGACGAATCTAATGGTAAAAACATGTGTTAGAGAGAAAATCTGTTATGTGACTTTAAATTTATTTATAAATTATAGTTATATTTTTTTCACATTTACCTTTTCTCTCTTTATCCTAAAAATCCAGAATATTTTTTTCAAATCGTAAAAAATGCAAAAAGTGCAACTAAATCGTTTTGATACGATTTTCTCTTTGTTTTCATTGCACTTTGTACACTTCGACTTTGTTTTCCTTTTTCTCCCACACACATATTTTATTTTAAGATTGAAAACGATGCAATGAGACGCATTTAAAACGAACATATTCACGTATTTTTGCAACTCTTGCATTAATCAACTTTTTTCAATATATTTTTTCCACTATGGAAAAAAGTACGGCTCGAAAGAACAGTTTCAAAGTGCACATTTAAACGCGCTCTGCGCGAGCGGTGCGACACTTCCGGTAAAATCTGACAAGTCCGAGATGTTGTAGGTGCGCGGTCTCACAGCTGTTTCCAAATTCGTTCGCGGATCATCGCGGGATGCTGGTCAGCGGACACGCGCGTTCGCAGACAAATCCAATGTATCGGCGGGCCTGAGGGTTGTACGGAAAAAGGGACGGGACTTCTCCTGCGGTGTCTGGCGACCGCATCGCGCGCGATTAACCTACGCGAAATTCCTCCTGTAAGGACAAACCGCGAGAAAATGCAGTTCATGAATTTCCTCGCATCACGGACATTCTTTTTATAGTTACAGGCTGACCTACTTCTCGTCTTGAAACGCGCTTAAAGTCAGATTGGCCAGACCTGTGTGCGGATCATGCTACGGCCAGTCTTTTAAATTATTTATATATTTATATCGACACTCAGCATTATGCCAGATAGGTATGTCGCCTACGAGCTTTGTTTACCTCGTAACGTGATACCTGTTATTACTCCCCTTTGTCCTTCCAACAAAAGATAAACAGAATCTTACAAATTTCAAGCTTTTTTATAAAAAGATTTTGCTCCAATATGATATTTCAATTATTAAAAATATTAATGGCTGATTCCTTCTTATATTGTTATAATTGATGTTTCGATCTATGAGAAGTAATTAGGAAGAACATATATGATTTGGTGATATTTTGCCAGGAATAAAGTTTTGGTTGGTGCTGGAGTAATATGGGGTATGACTCTTTGCTGTCTTTTATTCAGTCGCAAGTTGAGACCCACGATACTGTTAAATTTTATCCCTGCTATGTTATATCGGTCAGTTTATTTTTATCCGATAATGAATCAAAGTGTTTATAGGAGTTTGTGCTGTTGAAACAATTGTGTAATCTAATATTGCCCTCTGTGGCATTCAGCTAAACATAACAGACTATAAACTGTAGGCATTTTCCAGCAACAGAATACAAGGCTTGTTTCTTATTATTGCAGTGGATTATACCAAAACTTTCTGACTTTTGCCCCTCAAACTTCAAATATATATCTATTTCATTTTAAGTACAACAAGCATATAAGTACTAGTTCAACTAAAAAAACAGATATACAATTAAGACATACAGTGAATCATCTTAGCTTTGTGATTCCAATATTACACAAAGTTGAAATAATTCATCTGGATCTATATCTCTTGCTGGAAAATGTGTAATATCTTTGTTAATATCATTGTTAATTATGTATGTCAAACTTGAATTAATTTCTCTTATTAGTCTTTGTATTTGTTTTTCGTCTTATAAAAAGTATACTTACAAAATGTCGCTGTTACTATTGATTTTGTTGTTACTAATTACAAAATAATTTTTATACAAGTAATATCGTTATCATAGGCATTTAACTAAACATAACAACAGTCAATTTAGGCATTTAACTGTAACAGTTAAACATGCTGTATTATATTATATTATATAGTGAGATAATTTTTTTCAATAATATAAAATCACATTTTTGTCTTTTGACTCTTGTTTTCACCTATAAATAATGTTTATATAAAACTTATCGCTTGTTATTATCGCTTGATCTTACAGAAATACAAAAATGGAGAATGAAGATGAACAGAAGCATAATACAAATGATGCTGGTACATCAACGAACTGTGATACTAATGTACATACAAATGTGCAAAATGAAGTCCATAGGTATGTAATCAGAATCCACAACAAATATGTAACAAAAACACTTTGTCATTATGAATCATTATTAGTTAATATGAAGATTTCATATAAAGATTATGATATATTATAGTTTATCTTTTGTATATACATCTCTTGTGTCAACGCAGACAACCAACGCCAAATTTTATGATGGGTGGATTAACCGGAGCGTCACCACCAAAATTCGTGTCTTTTGATGAAATTGTTAAAGCTGCCAATGGTATGAAAAATATGGCCTTAGCGCACGAAATCGCGGTAGACGTAAACTTTCAGCTGCAAAAATTGGAACCAGAAGACGGTAGTTTTCATAGGCGAGTAAAAGAAATAATGCACAAAGCTTTTTGGAATCTATTAGCGGAGCAGTTGGCCGAAGATCCGCCAAATTATTCGCACGCGCTGGTTTTAATGAAAGAAATTAAAGAAGTAATAATTCTCTTTATTCTATGATGACAGAAAGAAGCATTAAACGATATACAGTACATTCTCTACTTATTTTAGTCACTGGATGAACTTGTACCACCGCACAATGCGAGGATTAAGGAAAATATTAGAGAAGTACTTGATTTGGATTTGATCAAGCAGCAAGCGGAGAAAGGTGTATTAGATTTTCACCATTACGGGCAATACATAATCTCTATTATGAGTAAAATATGTGCGCCAGTGAGAGATGAGAAAATCAGAGAGCTATCACAGCTGGTGGACATTGTTGAGACGTTCAAGGGTGTCATGGAAGTGTTGCAGTTAATGAGATTGGATTTGGCAAATTTTACTATTACAATGATGAGACCAAGTATCATTGCTTCGAGTATCGAGTACGAAAAAGCTAAGTTTGCCGATTTTTTAAAGATTAATTCAAACGGCTTGCAATATACAGAAAAATGGTTACTAAGACATTTCGATGCAGAAAAAGTTACGGGTTCATCAACTGGTACTAATAATGTAAGACAAATTACTCATTCTTTATTGACGGAGGCGTATCTCGACCTCCTGGAATGGGATTTCAACCCGGACGCCGAGGTATGAAAAATATTGAAATATAGGATTTTATATTATACATTCGATAAATTTATTATAAACAGGATGATTTTCATTTAGACATTGATGTTGGATCAAGGAAGACTTCTGGAATTGCGTGACATAACTAGTAGATTGAGCATTGTCGGTTCTGTGATATTATTGGTTAATAATACAATTGGTGCTTCAATTCATGGGGTTTCGAGCTTTAAAAAAAATATCAAGGAACACTTGAATGCACTGTTGGATTCTATACATTCAAACAAGTATGTTAAATTGTAACTGAAAATAAATTGCAATAAAATATATTATTTTTTAAACAATTATAAGTCAAATTTAGACTGATAAAAATAAATCTAATAATAGAAAGAATCCTGTTTTCGGGCAAAGCGAATCTTTGGTTCATGATTAATTTATATTATATTCAAAATTTATTAAAACAGTTATTTCTGCTATAGAGATCTAGAAGCTGCAATACCAAATATTATACTACAAGTAAAAACAGATGTAAAAACAACATTACAAGAAATCAATGCTGCTGAGTTGTCACCAGAATTCGAAACGCTATTAGAAGGTCAAATAGCCGATCTTATAGATACAAAACATAAGATCAGATATCTCGTCAGTAAGTATAAAAATAAAATTGATGGTTAACATTATCAACTATAAATATATCATTTTAGGTCTACGAATTAGACAGTTCCTACAGAAAATTATTCAGTCGCAATCCACTGCGCCCCAACAAGTACCACCAGGCCTCTCTTCATTGCAAGAGGAATTAACGGCCATTGCTGCCCGATTTGTAATACTTGTTTCGCATAATCGCAGCGTATTTTGGGAGTATTATCAAGATATTGTTGCAAACATGCTTGCGAAAAGCGACATTGATAATAATAAAGAGATACATGGAACACATACTATGGAATTGTAAAAAGGATGAATAATGTTAATATAAATAATGTTAATACACTCGGATCTCGTTATGCTCGTTTCCGAAACGCATATTATATAAAGATCATTTTGTAGCATTAATGCCCAATTTCTTCACTTCCAGATAAGTTACGGATAACTTTAACCAGGAGATATCTTCATTATATGCCCAATTTCTTCACTTCCAGATAAGTTGCGGATAACCTTACCTAGGAGATATCTCCATTGCAATGGAGATATCTCCTAGGTAAGGTTATCCGCAACTTATCTGGAAGTGAAGAAATTGAGCATAACTTTATCCAAGAGATATCTCCATTGTAATGGAGATATTTCTTGGATAAAGTTATCTGAAGGTGAAGAAATTGAGCAGTAATCTGCGAGATATCTCTTGGATAAAGTTATCTAGAGGTGAAGAAATTGAGCATAAACAATTAAATTTCTCGATAGATCAAATTGCATTTACTTTTGCGTTCACTATGCATCTCTTTTAGCAATAGAATTTTTTTCCGAGTGCTATATTGAGACACGCTATATCGAGATGCGAGTATATGTATATAATTTTTCATATTTATGTTTGTTCTATAATGAACAATATTCACAAACTGCATATTACATGATTAACAAGATAGAAAAGATATCTGTATTTTTTACTGTCATTGCGACGATCATGATTATTTAACGCTGAACAGTAACAGAGTTACGTTTTCTTTTCTTTATAATTTATTTACAAGACATATTAATGTATTATATATTAACTAATTAAATTAATAGTATATGATGTCTTTCTTTTCTTTGTTTTTTAACAATGATTTTTTAAATAATAAATTAGTGTATTTGATTACAAAATAAGTTATCGTGTATAGTATAAACGTATGTGAAATATGCATATAAGTATATTCATGATTAAAATACTGATGTTTTTAATTGCTAAGGTCAATTTTACACTATTATTACAAAAGTAAAAAAAGATTTAATTCTATATTTTTCACATTTTTTCTTGATTTCACTAAAATAATGCCTGCATCATTTTATATTTAGCATGAGTAGTCTAATCAATTTTATAAACATGAAAAAATATTTATTACTATATATTAAAGTATTAAAAAAAGTATTTAAAAATTTATTACTATTTAAGTACTAAAAAATTAATATATAAATTTAAAGTAAAACTTTAAATATATACACTTAATATTTATTATCCTTCTAAGTTGTTAGTGTAGGCATTAAGACAACTTTAAATTTTTTATATAATTCTCAAAGGTTGCAATATGTTGTTTCTTTAAAAAACTTTGAAATCCTAAAAATAGAAAAATTTTTTTAAAAGTTTTCATTCTTTAGGTTGTATTTCTTATCATCTCATCTCCAATTTATTGACATGAATAAACTTACCTATAAACAAATGCCATAGCAGCCCAGTCGGTGGAAATAAATTTAATAATGTTTTCAATAACTCGTCAAAATCGCCACTTTGCGTATAGCTTTGTATCATACTTGCAAATATTTTATAATCACTCGCAGATAATGCTCGTTTCACCTACGAGCATATCATTTCTGTTTAAAATGCATAATTTTTTTTATTACATAAACAATAGAATTATTATTTACTTACATCCTTCAAGTATTGTTTTCCCAGTGCCTTTTTATCGTCTTTCATGTCCTTATCCTTATCGTTTTGGGTGAAATTTTGCCCAGAATTACTTTCGGAAACTTTTAACGAAGATGTCGAAGGAGCAGAAAAATATGAATCAATTTCAGGTGATATAATATTAATTTTTCTTCTTTTTGCAACTGGTTCTTCAGATCGATGTTTTGCTAATTCGCATGTACTCTGATTGTCTTTTAATTTACAAGCACTAAAATTAATTGCAGATTGTGGCTTCAATGACTGTTTGTCCTTTGCACTTTCATCTAGATACATATTTATGTCAAAACTATTCTTAATTAATTTTTCTGTCGCAGAATTGTTTTGTGCTTTTTGTCTGAGAGAATGAGATATCGTTGTTTCAAAGGTAGCACCCACCGCAGGTAATGATATATCAATGTTCCCATATTGTGCATGAGTGATACTAGGTTGCGGCAACTGAAATTATTGATAAGTTTAAATATATTGTTAATTATATTGTAATAATTATATTTAGTTTTTTTTTTACACACACACACACACAAACAAACACATATGTTATGGGCAATCTGATTAATTCGAGATTTATACATAATGGCCGGCCAATATGGATAATGCCTGCTTGTTTTGGAAAATTTGAACAATGGAAGCAAAAATGTCCAAATTAATCAAAATGACCGGTCATTATGAATTATGTACAAGTGAGAAATGTGGTTAATATATTGAAAATAATATTCTTATAAAAGAATAAGGCAGTCTGTTTTCTACAATCTTAGCTTGTTACTTATTATATGTTACATATTTAAATATTTTTTATTTATTTAATTTCTACTTATTTCTGCCAATATCTAAAGAACTTATTAAACGAACATTTTCCTTTACAATTACACCTCTTAAATCCTTGTCCTTCAAATAAAGATTTCCTCATGCATTCTTGTAAGAAAATTTTTGTAGCTGGAACCTCCTCAGATTTAATGTATGATTCTCTACATAGAGAAAATTCATTTCTAGTGTAGAATTTTGATAGCCCATGTTCTGTTCCTAGCTCATAAAAATCATTATTTTTAAATATCATTGCTAACAGATTTTTTTGAGTCACTTTTACCCCTATCAACGTCTGGTATAATCTGACTGTTTCGTCAACTGTTTGGCTTAGAAAATTTGGCGGAAGACTTTTATTTTTTCAGCTTGAATTTGTAAATTAAATTCACCTTTTTTTGAGTATCAAGAACTTTAGCTCTTTTTTCTTCAATTTTTCTAACTTCTTCCAAATGATCATTAGCTTCTTTATCTTGTCTTCCATTTTTATTTTCATCTTCGTTCTGTTCGTTATCATTATCTTCTTCATTACTATTGTAATTTTCTTCGCCTTGCGCTTTATTTTCATCTTCTTCATCTTTACTATCTCTAGATATATTTAAACGTAATATTTCTTCCAAATCTTCTTCAGATCTTATAAACTGTAGGGCTTCTCTGGACAAATTGGAACTTTTAAGTCCTATCTTCACTGGTTGTCCGAACAAAGTTTCATACGGACTATATTTTATACTTTTGTGGTAAGCTTTGTTTTTCATAAATTGTACAAAACGCAAGCCGTCACTCCAATATGTTGTTTTATGTGTTTGAAGCCAAGTACTGAGGATGTTCTCGACATCTTGGTTGGCACATTCAACAGATCCTCGACTTTGACTATGATGCGGTTTTCCATGGACAATTTTTAATTCAGGCCACATGGAACAAACTTCTTCAATAACTAGATTAGAAAATTCTCTTCCGTTATCGCTTTGCAAGACAGAAGGAGCTCCAAAAGTTGTAAAAATATCCAATAATGTATATGCAATTTCCCCTGCAGTTTTTGTCCTCAATGGTCGCAGTTGTACAAATTTAATCAGATGATCTTGATACACAAAAATAAATTTAAATCCCCGATCTTCTTGACTTTGCATATCAATTAAATCAACTTGGCATCGACTAATCATCTCACTGAAAATCATTGGCTTTACAACCAAATCTTTTTTAGGAACTTTAAATTTTTTCTGACAAATTTCACATAAATTTAAGTAAAGCATAATTGTTTCTTTAGTAACGTTTTTAAATTTTCTCTTGATCTCTTTTGCCATTCTATTTCTCCCTCCATGTCTAATAGAAAGATGTACATCATGAATAATATCAAAAAGATCTTCATTAGTAATGTAGTATTTTATAACTGAATTATCAAATACTCTGGATATATAAGTTTCTCATTGTCTTCAACCTTTATTAAATCAAAGTGTCTTAATTTTTGATAATCATTTGGGGTTTTTCTACTATCCTTTCTTTTAATCTCTTTAATTTCATTTTTTAACTGCACGTACTTTTCATTAGATAGATAGCCACTATTACAAGCTTTATTTGAAATTAATTCACAAAGTTTACTATTAAATTTTCTTTTCATTTCTTCAGTTGTGGTCGACGTCATTCTTCATGGATATGATATTCAAATTGTATTAATAAAATCCGATTCACAATAGCAGTACATTTACATAAGTATTCAGTACAAAGTCAGAACGGGCAGAAACACTTTATTTTGTTTTTTAATAAAATACAACTCACTAGAAACTTCTCGTCAATAGTCACAGCTGACTGCAGCTAGAATATTATAAGAGGTTAGGTTTTTTAAATTAAGAGTGCCGGGCAAATTGAACAAGACAATTTATCAAAATGACCATTTAACATTGGTCCGCGTTCAGTAGATTCAACAGACTCAACTGTGTGGAGCGAATCCGTGAACGCTCGTTGCTATTGGTGTATTCTTTTAAATCATCCAATAGCGCTTTGTAACAGTTAAGTCTGCTGAACGCGACTATTAGGAAATATACATGACCGGGAAATTTGAATAATTTTTTTCTATTAATTATATTGACCGAACAAATTGAGAATTGTGTGTATTTTGACCATTATATATAATCCCCAATTAACCGAATTACCCGTAACATATATATGTATATATGTGTATACATGAAACAAACTTACTGTATTCTCCGCGTTCCTAAAAAATTCTCGTAACTCTTTCGTGATCATTCCAAAATTCGTAAACTTTTTTACGTATGGTCTAAGCCAAGCAGATAATTGTTTATTGAAGTTTGGATTTTCAAATCTACAATCACATAATATAACAGCACCATAATCGCTTTTGTGTCTTATTATTCTGCCGATAGCTTGATTAACAGCTCGGGATGCTTCAAGTTGATACCATTCTTGTCCAGTTAGACTCTAAATATTAAAAATTTGTTTTTCAGTCATAAATCTTATTTTATCGAGTTATTATTTTTAACAAAGTTAAAATATAATTTATACTTCTTTTTTTGTCGTCCTTATTTCCTCCAAATATCTTTGTTTTAACATAACTCGCGGATCTTTTAAAGGTGGAAATGGAAGACCAATGATTAACACAGCTCTACCGTTTGCATTAGCAAAATCCAGACCTTCGCTGACTTTTCCTCGACAGACTGCCATAAAAACAGCCCCCTTGCAAGACGGATCTTTAATTTTTTGGTAGTACTCATTCATCACATTAACAAATCCGTCTTTAGAGTTTGGTTCTACATAAATGGGCTATTATCCAATAATTAATTCGATATATATATATATATAATATTATATAATATATTATTTTACGTATATAATATATTATTATTAAGTACATGAAATATTTTTTTACCTTACGTTCAGCAATCTGCGTCCATAAACCCATATTCTGCCATTCGTCCCTACATTTTTTCATGATTGGATACGATGGAAAGAATATTAACAATCCGTGGGGGACAATACAACTAAAGTTGTATACTGTTCTTCCAAGAGACGCAATATACTTCGGATCATTTCTGTGAAAACATAATAATAAAGATATTAACTCAATCACTGTTTATTTCATCGTTATATTTAATAGTATTTACCTTGTATTATAAGATGAATTAAGTGGATGGTTATCTGGTCCTTGACTAAGAACACCAACACATACTTGTTTCTTCGTTACTATATGCGGATTTTCCAGTTGGACCGCGATTGGTATACCGAGTTCCGATATGAATGGTTTTAACGGAGATAATGTGCCGCTTGTGAGCACTACTGAACGTATGCCTTGTTCTACCATCTGTTCCATACTATAAAATATGTTTATTATATGAATTAAGTATTTTTATGAATAATGTATTTTTAATAATTAAGATATATATCTATATGTATATAATATATATAATGTATTTTTTTTATCAAGTCAGTTTTACCCGAAACCAGGGCTGAAACACCAGTAACTAATAAGTTTTCCATCCGTTTTAGTTGTCTTTTTACTCTCCCAGACATCGTTCCTGTAATTCTTTTTTTGCTCTTCCATTTGTATGTGAACTTTGTAGCAACGTTTTACTTTTTCTTTGTGACGTGCAATAGACGCACCGCTGTTAAAAGCAGTTCTCAATAAATCACTGAATTTTTGCAATGCATTCCCTTTTCTTGCAAATGGTGAAGTACTGGTAGTTGTCAGATATAAAATAAGTTTTTCTAGTTTGTCTACCACGATTTGTTCCTTACCATGTGTCAACTATTAAAAAAAAATACGTTACGGCAACAGTAGTATGAATGTATATAAATTTCTAATAAATTCATTTAAAAATAAAAATATTTACTTCAATTTTCTCAAGTAATTCAAAAATATATCCGCCAGGGAAAGTGTCTCCCTCACTGCGGTTTTTTAATTCAATAGAGTCGATTGTTTTTTCCAGTTCTAAAAACATTGCTTTTAAGATACACAAATCTTCTGCTGTAAAATCTTTTTGAACATTATTCTCTGACAGAAAGTCATTCTGCCGATCTGAATCCTTAGCCATATCTTGCATTACTGCAGTTACTTCATCGATACACATTGCAATATCTGTACTGCTTATCTGTACAGCATATACAATATTTAATTAGAATACATAAAGGGCTAAAGAAAATGTTTCTATACCTGTAATGATGCTGCTTCTTCACAAACTTTTTCAACATTATGAGCTTCGTCCAATAAAACTACAGTATTTTGTAAATCTATACCTTGCGACCTTCGTGTCTTAGGATCTAGTAGATAATTATAAGGCATAAAAACGATATCTGCATTCTGCTTCAATTCCTTTGCCAAAAAATATGGACAACATTTGTGCTTTTGTCCAACTTTAACTAAATCTTCTATGTCTAGTACCTCCTGTTTAAATACAGGGTCATCTTTTCTAAAAAAAAAAAAAACCACATCAAAATTGATATTATATTATATATTCGCCACTTGATTTCTCTGTTGATTATAAAATTGTGTCTGAATATTACACTCACTTGGTTTCGACATTGTTGAAATAAAAACAAGTTCTTGACTTCACTTTGGCATGACACATGTGTATCTTGTTAAAAGAACTTGTTTCTTTAGAAACTTCTGGATGAATGCATAGCTGATCTCGGGATCCCAATACAGCAGTAGCTACATGTTTGTATGACGTTTTCTTCAATTCATACATAGCCTGAGATAATTGAGAATGTGTTCGAGACGCATAAATAATTTTGGGCATAGCCCAGCCAAAACTTTGAACATGATCTGGTACTCCTGCTGCTTTCTCAAGCCCACTGGTTAAATGTTTAAAGAAATTTCCACCAAAGTCTTTCTTTTCTATTGCACCTGCTATCACTTGTGCTTGTAATTGAGCTTTCTTTGTCAACAGCCAACTTAAGGAGGAACACAAAAGGCTCAAAGTCTTTCCAGTACCTGTGAAATATTTATTTACAATTATAACGTTTCATTACAAACCTATTCATAAGTTACTAAAATAACTTTAGTTAAATCCATTTAACAAAAAATAGAAAGGTGAAACCTATTAATCTAAAAGTTCAGTTTTTCAATTGTTTTGTCGAACGATTTTTCTAAATTGAAAAAATGTTTAAAATTTAATAATTTCAAAATTATATCTGTTTTTTTATTAAAGTATAAATCATCACAAATTTCTTGTAAGATTTTAATTATTATCACAAAAATAATAATAAAAAATGAAACAATCTAAAAGTTTATTTTTTAATTATTTCGTGTCAAACGATTTTTACAAGTCGGGAATACATGTTTCAAATAAATTACATGACTTCTTTTGAAAAATATCTTAAATTATCAAAAATTTCTTTTAAATGTCATTATTTCTCAAAGGTATCTGCTTTCCTGAAAAGGTAACCGCGTGTATACAATACCTGTCGGCGACTCCAAGACACCATGCTGACCATTTTGTAGGCATTCTATCACCTTTCTCATATACTCCTCCTGCACAGAATACGGTTTAAAGGGGAAGCTAACGATGATATCGTTAATCGTGACATCGGGCATCTTGGGAATTCGATTGAAAAACGCATCAATGCATCAACTGCAATGAAACTCCATGCGTCACCTTCCACTGGTTTCCCGCCAGAATAGAAATTTAACCTAACAGCGTTTTCATTGGCAGAACTGGAGTGCGTTCCGTTTCTCGCATGATGTGCATAATGCATCGTTTATCCTTTGGCCTGTTCTTTTTGGCTGAACTTTTGCACCAATTCATCTTTCTTCCTCTTTTTTCCTCCTGGAGAGAAAAGGAAGAAAGATGAACTGGTGCAAAAGTTCAGCCAAAAAGAACAAGCCCCTTATTGCTCACCAAATGTTAAACAAGGACAATGGATGCATCATGCGCATCATGCAAGATACGGAACGCACCTCTGGATACGCACTCAGTGCACTTTAAAACCGTTGTATGTACACAAATAGACCTAAAGATGTATGTATAATTAAAATATCGAAACGAGTTAAACCACACAATCCTGATACATTTTATTGTGTAATTTAATAAAATATACATTGAGCATTTTATCAAGTGAAAATAGGCCTGTTCTTTTTGGCTGAACTTTTGCATCAGGGGATCGATTCTGTATCTTGAAACGAAGTGAAAATTACAAAAGTGAGCAAATTTACTAGAATACTGATAATTTCATTGGTCAACACCTAGTAAATTCGCTCACTTTTGTCATTTTCCTTGTTTGAAGGTATACCTTGCTTTCCAGCAAGGACACAGTTATGCGGGGTCTACAATAGAAGTCGTAGCGGTCGTAGGGTCTTAAATCATAGAAAATTGACCAATCACAGTTTGTGATCCTTCTCATATTCGACTGTGATTGGTCAATTTTTTATGACTTAATTCCTTAAGCCCAGTGTCCACGATGCTAGAAATCCGTCCGAGATCTCGGATGAAGAAAGAATTGACCAATCGCATTGATCATGTGATTAAATTGTTTAAATGTGATTGGTTAATTCTTTTTCTCTCCGAGATCTCGGACCAATTTCTAGCATCGTGGACACAAGGCTTTACGACTGCTACGATTTCTATTGTAGACCCCGCATCAGACACTGTAGCTGCGTTTCATTATTCACTGTCAGTACTGGCAGCATTGCACATGCCATTCCAAAATATATCGCAGTAAACTTCCAATATACTTTTACGTTTATATAACGTCATAAATTTTTGCGTCACTTCTTATTTCTATTACTGCGACTGGCGAGGTCAGGGGTGCGTTCCTTTATTTACTGCAAGTACTGATGCTATGACGTCAAAAAGTGTACTGCGAATAGCGTTCCATTTTAACTTCGAGAACTATCGAGGTGTTGCAACTTTACAAATCGGAACTTATCGCAGTACGCTTCGTTCAACTAATCAAGTTAACGTACATTACGTCCACTGACTACTGTATATTATTAACATTGTTTGTTTTTCGTAAACAATGAGTGAAATACTCAATGAAAATATAATTGCATTTATTGCAACTATACTAGTAGAAATTATAGCTGAGGATGAATCAAGTGATAGTGATAGCGATACAGAAATCTACAATAAGATAATCCTTGCCATTTTCAGCTCTTTTTGCATCCTCGGGACTAACAATTATTTTATATGATTCATTAGTTTCACTATCGATTAAGGTTATCTCTAAGTAAGTAGCCATCTTGAACTGCGACTGCTTTACCTCGCTGGCTGCAGTAGTTTCAACAGGAAATGACATCAAAATTCATGATGTCATAGATCTGTACAAGTGCTTTCGCAATACACTGTAATCCATTTTGGGACGCCGTTGGTAGTACTGGCAGTACTTGCAGTAAATAAAGGAACGCACCCATAGTATAAACTAGACATCCACTTCCTCCATGGCGAATACCTAGACACTCATTTTGCCGACGGCGAACACCTAGATACTTACTTCCTCGACAGCGAACATGTAGACAACACCTAGACACGTAATTCCTCGACGGCGAACATCTAGACACCCACTTCCTCGATGGCGAACACCTAGACACTCATTTCCTCAATAGCGAACACCTAGACACTCACTTCCTCGACGGCGATAACCTAGAAACCTATTTCCTCGACGGCGAACACCTAGACACTCATTTCCTCGACGGCGAACACCTAGACACTAACTTCCTCGACGACGAACACCTAAATACCCATTTCCTCAATGGCGAACATCTAGACACTCATTTCCTCTACGGCGAACATCTAGACACCAACTTCCTCGATGACAACATGTAGACACCCACTTC